GAGAGAGAGAGAGAGAGAGAGAGAGAGAGAGAGAGAGAGAGAGAGAGAGAACCGGCGCCAACAGAATCTTCCCTGAAGACGGCTTTGTTACCCGAGATGTCTATCCGCGATCCTGGTCGAGAGCCAAAGGTGCCGGGAAGTAAATTCCACGCCGGGTCATAATGAAGGAACGGTGGGTACCGTGTTTTGGGATTTGTTATTTTTCTTCACCGATTTTCACGTATTGCGCGCGTATTATGAAACGAATTCTCGCGAGATAAATAATAAATCAATACATGAATCAATAAACAATGGCAAGTACATCGGCAAATAATGGAATGTAAACCGACAAATGGTGAAAAGTGCATGAATTTTGCGGCGACCACGTATTTCGTCGCTAACGACGCTAATGACGATGATATAAACACCGAGAGGGCTCTCTGTTCGACAAAATAAATTTCGAATGCGCCGAAGAGAAACGCAGCTATGTTTTCCGTACGGATTTCACGCAGAGGCGATTTATAAGTTATTAAGAATGAATTTTCTGATTATGCAAATCAGTGGAATGGGATGTTAAAGCCCGCGGCGTTTTCAAATTAAACTTTCATGCCGGCATAATGAAACGCCCAAACGCTCGAAATTATAGTTCCTCATTTTCTAAATACGACGCCGCTAAATTATTAGTAGTTCACAGCCAAGCAATAACCGGCCGCTAATTTGTTGCACAGCGGCGCCGCATAGATTCGCTTATTATTACGTTAGTTTCAGATTCGCCTCGCGATATATTCCGCCCTCGCGGCGCAATAAAATAAGGTTACATATATTTCACGACGCATCGCGCGTATAAAGTCAGATATTATCAAGCGGCTAATTTACCGGAAAAATGCGCTCGAAATTTTAATGCGGTCTCGCGCGAGTAAATGCGCGACTCGCGCACAGTTCCATTTTCACACTATTTGTCTTTAACAATCCGTGGCAAATGCGCGCAGCTAAGCACCTACCGCCGGTAGTGCACAACACAGATCTACGCCTGCTCAAATAAAGGATGAATCGACAACTTATGTAGCTGAAGAGAGAGCCGAACTTTCAAGAAACGCGAAGGAGCTGCGGGATGCGGAACTTTCCTGCAACATACATATGAAGTCGCGACGAACAGTATACGCGCGGGTCGAGTCGAGTGCACTTCGCGTCCAAGTGCCGCGATAGCGTTCAACGTCGCCGGCACAAATGGCAATCTAATTAATGCGGCGCGGAATGCAAATTCGTATATTTGTTATATCGCGGCTGTCGGTGCGCGCGCTGCGATGCAACGATATCGCGCATTTTAATTCTGCGCGGCGGGCGTCTCGCCGAGTCGCCTCGTCGTCCGAATTTTCCGAGAGACACGGTCGACTGAATTTCAAGCGGAGTATCACCTCCGGCCACGTATTGATCGGAACAAGATTCGCTGAGAAATCGCCCCGGCCAACCGGCGGCGACCGTTCGCGCGAGGCCGGAAACTGCTTAAGCAAGGATGGCTTGAAATTATCGGAAGGCAAAGCTAGGCAGCTAAACACACACACACACATAGACAGGCACAGCGGTGTACAGGAGAAAAGAGGAAACGCCGAAAAAGAGAAACAAGCGCGGGACGCAGTGAGCGAAAAGCCAAGGCTGTGCAACTAAGCAACTTTAGTTGCAGCCACGGTCGATGTGGTCGTTGCGACCAGACGAGCATTGTTGCTACATGTGGGTCAACCCGCGCTGCACTTCCGGTGACGACACGCGGACGTAACGGCGAAAAGAAACGAGATCCAGAAAGAGAAACACGACGGTAAAAGCGGCGGTGCCGTAATGCCAACGAAAAGAAGAAGACGCTCGCGAGACCCGAAACGAGACCAGAAGACGTTGTGTCAACACCTTAAAGTCTAAAAGGCGCGAGCCATCGCCTTTAACGTTTTGCCGAGAGCTAAATGACCAGTTTGAGGATTCTCGTTAAGGATAACGTCTTAACCCTTGTAATTGCGTAACTGCATGCAATTTGAACTGCTATTCCCCGGACTGGGAGTTCCAACGACGATGCATCGCGTAATGAGGGAGACTGCGCCGTAACGTTTAATTAAAGGAGACCGCAAATAAAGAATGCTAGCGGTATACAACACCACGCGCGGGGCTGTCTTTAAGGAAAAAGAGGGGCAAGACGAACAACAAGAGCAATAATGAATTTACTCAGCGCGGATATGATTCATGAAATCCGGCGATAATTAACAAAGAAAGAGATTCGTGCTCAAGCTGGCGGAAAATAATTTCAAACATTTCTAACGCCACCGTAACTGTTTAGGTTAATATCTTTTTTCCACGTGTAATTAAAGTGAAAATACTAATGCCTGGATAGTAATAACACTGGACGCTTAACTTTGGACATCCTTATTTTTTTACTTTTAAATACAAATATTTAAACTTTCAACAAGGAATGCAGGATATTTGACAATTAATGGCACATCCATTGTGTGTAGATAAAACTTTAGGTTAAATTGAACACAAAATTCTCCTACCATTTTGCAAACAAATACGCCAAATTTTGAGTTACTAATTAAAAAAAACTGATGCATAATTGTGCGCGATAATGCATTAATTTTTTTTTAATCAATAACTAAAAATCTACGTGGCTATTTGCAAAATAATAGAGAACTTTTTTGTTTAGTTTGACCTAAAGTACAAGCACACATTGTCAATGCCGACTCATCCACTGTATTGCGCTTGATCATTCACCAATCTATACACAATAGAATGTCCGACTGTCTGTTCCTTAAACTCCTAAACCCTTTGACAGATCTGGATCAAATTTTGCATAGTTACCTTCTAGAACTCTGCGGAGAATACAGGCTACCATGAAATCTGGACATCCTCTCCCCCTGATTTTATTCCCTTGACACTTTGAGATAACACGGACAACGCCGAGTAGTTCAAGCTGATATCTTCTTTAATTAATAACTCGACATTTTACGTGGTTGTTCGTGAAATATGATGGAGGAATTTTGTGTTCAATTACATGAGCTTTATCTACACACAACAAGTGTGTAATCATTAGTTGTCAGACATCCTGCATATATTCAGTATATGCAGTACATTCTACATTGTGAAAGTTTAAATATTCGTATTTAAAAACTAATATAATATAAGAGCATCTAGATTTAAGTACCAGTGTATTAGTTGTTAATACTCAGGAAATGGTATTTTTATCTGACATGTTCGCACCATTTCATAGAATTTCGCCAAAATGCAGACACAAGTCTACAAGTGTTGCTGATCTTACGAGAGCGATGCAAGTCTTCGTGCATGCATATCGCGTCTCGTGGGAAGAGTTCGCGTCGCTAATGGCAAGCGATTGATAATTTAGACCATTTGTGCCATTTGGGAATAGCAGACGGCGAGATACGACTATATCAACAGTCGACTGCGTTGTTGAAGATCCAAATGTGTCGCATTGAGCCAGCCATCTCGGATTTCTGATGTATATTCGTTTGCGATGAAAGGGACGCGGGCCCGCCTTATCGCGCGCTGGGTCGCGCTACACAATTCGAAATTGTGCACTCTCAGCTGTATCAAAATGTTTACGCAAACTTGCGTATCATCGTTGATACAGGTTGCAATAACTCGATAACTGGCGCTAGTTCGCGCGAGTATTACAACGCTTCCAAATGAAATAGCCATCGATAAAATATTAATCTACAAAATGCGTTGACTCGACTCAATTCATTTTCGCGTCGGGAGCGAGCGAGCGAGCGAGTGTGTTTTAGTGCGCGCGTTACATTTTGCGCGGCAATAAATCGCCGTCATCTGAGTGAAATTATTTCTGCGTGAAGGAACGTTTCGCTCGCGAAAATATCGTGGTGCGACGCAACGAATGCATCGGGAACGAGAGCCGACTTAAGCGTTCTTCTCACGAATAAGTGCGACACTCGTTAGATATTAGGCTAAGAGTAAAAAGAGAAAAAGAGAGTAGAATGAAGGCGGAATATCGTTCGCGAGCGTGCAGTTCCATTTGTTTTCGGAACTTTGCCGCGCCGTGCTGTACCGGTCGAAACTGCAATGCTTTGTTAAAGACGCAAGAATTGTAATTTGCATCTAGTAGTAGTCGGTACTTTCAAGTGGGTTAATTCCTTGACGCGAGTATCGCAAGTTCGCCTCTCGTTCTCTCCTCTTCTTCTTCTTCTTCGCGGCCGAGTACAGTTAGGATTTGCCTTTGTTAAACTTTTTATCTCCGCCGTCTTAATGACGTTAAGACTGCATTTTCTGGAAAACTTTAAATTGAAATTCGACTCCGTTGATGAGGTTTTAATTTCGGAGACATATCACGAAAATATATTGAAAGAATGTGGCAAGACATGAGAGATAAATTTTGCGGTAACTGGCGCATATTTAAAGCTACTTTAAAAGTAGCAGGCAGAAGTTGACGCCGGTATAGAATTTCAAGTGAGCACGGGCAGTAATATACATAAGTACGATTAAATTTTCAATGCAACAGAACAATCATCACTCGATGCAATAATTTGCGATAGAAATTTTGAGCGCAACGAAAGAGATATTTTTTCAGAGACGGAACCCATTTTAATAGAGTTTATATCGTTACGGAAAAAAGAAGGAAACCTTCCTTTTAACGTGTGAGAACGCTAAAGATGAGAAAGGAGAAAGCCGGAAGCTGTTCCTGCAAAGCACGTTTTATTATTACCTCCGCGAACGTTACATATACTTTACCGAGAACAGCGTTAAATTTAATAACACAGTTTAAGGGTTTCACCCGAGAAAACCCGCCGGCCATCGGAAAATAGTTTCTCACGGGTATTACAAAAAAACCTGCAATATACGTAATTCGTTCGAGACCCGCAACTCGAGTTGGGACCGCTTTAATGTCCTCGTTAAAGTCCTAGGCGGTTGAGGGTGAGCCTTTATAAATTACGGCGTCGTTATGTTCGCGAAATTAAAAATTGTGCGTGCACTCACTTCTCGCAGAGGGGTAAGTCTGCGCCTTTCCCACGAGTTCGTTCGTCACCACCTGTTACGAGAAGAAGAGAACATAAGTTAGTAGAAGAGATAAAAACCGCGGGAGTGGCGTAAAAAAAGGATCAATCGTAAGACAGGCTTATCCGGCGACATCGTTCGGCAGACTCTAATGTCTGATATCATCGGAGTCTCGTATAAAAAGCTCGCTCTGTCGATTTATTGAATTGTAAAACTTCGTCGGGTTCGCAAAAGCAATCTTGGGTATAATCAAGTATTTTTTAAAAGGACCGAATTTGATATTATTCAGTTTCATGCAGTGGAATTTCGAATGTCGAATGTATACAGGGTGTCTGAGGATAGATCGTGTGTACACATGTAGGTTACCGAATTTTATGCCTATTTTCGACCTAAACTATCCAACATTTGTATATTCTGAAGAGTCAATGTATATTTAATACACATGGAATTCCTTAGCGCCCCTAAATGACAGGAAACATACAAAATGCTATTCGTAGATTTTAAAGAGAATCTCTCGGCAAAATTGATTAATTAAATGGAATCAAAAAAGGTTGATATAAATTTCAGAGCATCGAAATAGGCGTTAAATGGATGAATATAGAGGTCGAAAAACGAATTGAGATTTCAATTCGGGTTGGGTCAAACAAAATTTTCCTCCATCATCCTGCAAACAATCACGTCAAAGTTTTAGTTGTTAATTAAAGAAAATTGGTGAGTGACCGCGCGTTATGCGTGCAGGATGTGACTATAATTAAAATTTCCGTTGTGCGCTTTGGTCAAACTGATCAAAAAGTTCACCATTTTGCAAATAACCACGTAGACTTTTGCGTTATTAATTAAAAAAGATTGGAGAATTATTGCGCGCGAGATAAATTTCCAATTTTCTTTAATTAATAACTCAAAATTTTACGTGGTTATTTGTAATATGATAGAGGACACTTGTATTCTTTTTGACCTGACCTACATGAACGTTTTCACTTATTGTAAACATTCTATGTACGTGTGCTTTCCTACATCTCTTGTGTGGATTAATTTTGCCATTGTAACACATTGCATAAAACGTGCGTTTTAATTCAATCCAAACACACTCGTGGACAAAGAGATAACAGACAATGAGGAAACATCAAACAACCGAAGCGAATCAATCGAGTTTAAGAAATCCGTAAAACACAGCGGTAAAACGAAGAAAAAAAAGAGTAACAAACAAGAGCGCGCGCGCGCGTTACACGCGACAAATTCGAACGGGAAAAATCAAAAAGCGTTGAACGCGAAAACGCTTTGACATCTCGATATCCTTTCACAGTGCGAACACAGGTCGGTAGATTGGCGCGCGCAGTTGCGTCACGGATAACGCGCTTGCGGCAATTTCGCGCGTGCGGCGAAAAATTAACCCCGCCGCTGCGCGCGGATTTTCAGGCGGGATCGTCGAAAAACTGAAGCGTGAAAAAAAATAGAAAGAAAGAGAGCGCAAAAAGCTGCAGCGAGAACGCGACGGAGGAGATAGCCGCGACGATGGTTGACGTGTCCCTCACACAGGGGACTTCCCCCCGCTGACGATCCGATTACACACGTCCGCGAGCGACGCGCCGATGCGCGAGCGCGAATTTGAACGGTCACTCGCGCGAGCCCCGTAATACCCGTCGGATACGACTTAATTACACGGAGTGCCGTAAACCTGCGTTGAATCATTGTCACAATCTTCGCGATTTACGCCGGCCGGCGCCGCGAGCAATGAATTACCCGTTTCTATCGCATGATTTACGCCCGAATGTACTTTGCATTCCATTTACGGGGAGAAGGGTGCGTGCGGCTTGCGCGCGGGGTAATCCGCCAGCGCGCGCGCGCGCACCTCTCGCGCGGTAAAGCCCCATACATTACGCCTTATTTACACGCGCGTGACAAGTTTCTCGCCCCGCCACCCTCTCTCTCCCGCCTGCCTTCCCTACCGCCTCTCGTTTCCCGCCTCGTGTTTCGATGCATTAGCTTGAATGCACGTTGAATTCGTCAGCTCGCTCGCGCGCTATATTGCGTTGCGCTACAATTAATATGCATAACTATGACCACGTCCAGGCGCTCGATAACGCTCGCTGAAGCGAGTCGTGCCCAGTCGCGCGTAACCGACGAATTTTCTCTCTCTCCCTCTCTCTGCTGTGCGCGACTAAAGCGGCAAAAGCGAAAGCTCGTAAAACTGTCTTAGAGTGTTTCTTTACGTGCTCGATAATGGCGATAATGGTGCAAATTTATGCGTGCTGCATATTGCAACCTTCGCGACGCTAAATCCCGGGGATACGGAAGCGGCTTGCATGGAGGGACGATAATTTATGATTTTTGCAGCGCGTGTTACACGTTAATTTCTTCGTGCGACGCGCGTAAGCTCAGCGGAAGATAAGCGGGTGGTGGGTGGCCAAAGTGGGCGAGTATCTTAATTGGCTGCGGGCACGCATGACACGCTCAATGTATTCTAATACGGCGATGAAATATACCCGGGATTATAAAACTTGGATGCGAACTAATTGGTCGGTTAACAAAGTTGTGAATTTTTTGCGAGCTGACCGCGCGGGAGTAAAGTTGCGAGACGCGCGATTAATTCCCGTAACCTTAGCACCGCAATATCGCGCGCCGCGCGGCAACAGCAAGCGCGACACGTTTGTTACGTTGCATTGCTAAATAATGTCCGACAATGTTGCAACGTGCCGTGACATAATGCAGCGCATACGCGCGACAAAGGTCTCTTTGTCCGGGACCGTCTTAATTCTCATTGCGCGACGCGAATGCGGTCGTTCATATTATTAACGCTATTATTCGGGCATTTGCGGCAGTTCGAGATCTTCCGCGTCGCCGGCGTCGACCTGTCGATCGGGCGGTATTACAGTGAATAAATTACAAGGAACGTACTCTACCCTGGAGACTGATATCGTTGTCAAACTTGCCTCTTCTTATCCCGCGCGAAAGAATGCTTTGACATTTCAAGCTTTATCATGTCCGATGCAGCCCCTTTGAGACAGAGCATACTCTTCAGTAAAGAAATTTCCCGCTTCGAGAACTTCACTGCGTAAGTTAATTTAACTCTGAAATCTCTCTCCCTTTATATAAAACTGATACTGTGTATAATGACGTAAAACGCCACGCTTCTTCCCCCCCCCCCCCCCC